GTACTTAAAATACCTAAAAGTAAGGGTATATTGTCATAAGCCCCATTCATCTATTCCCGAAATCGAGAAACCTACTCATGTACTAAGTTAAACAATAAACCATAATCTATAAATTTCATCAAAATTGTTAGCTTGTGTTGTTATTATTTTAATAAAGGATAAATTTGAGGGCCTGAAATGAAATGAATTATAACTTTACTTATTATCCTTTTTACTTCTATTTAATATGGGCTTCTTGAAAACTTCAGATGAAGAAGTTTTTCTTGCAATTTACATTAAAAGTGATTACGATCCAGAAAAAAATTTAGAAATTTTACATTGACGATGACATTGATGTTGTTCAACGGCGTCCTAGGGTACCACTCCGACAATTGCTTTCTCACGTAACCTGTTGGTGGTATGTTCTCCTTATTATCCTTTGTCGCTCTCGACATCCTCCGTGTTCTCACCAACGTTGCTGGTGGGTCCACCCTCCTGACCCACAATCTCCTGCCCACTTCACCTCTCCGCACCAAAATCCTTGTCACTTCTGCCATCTTTCATTGGAAAGACAAGAAATCAGTGAAATTTTAAGAAAAAATATGTTTATTTCAAAAAGAATAAGAAATGATGCATCTATCAACACAAATTCTAGTAGACGCTAGAAATTAATCTAAAAAAGAAAAACCTGACAAAGAACAAAATAACCTCCATCTACGAGAGGAATCTCTTTAAGAACTCTGATTACAGTGATCACCCGGATAAACTGGTTAAACCCAGAAACATATCAAAGATTGAAAAAACGAAAAACAAAATCAGCGAAAATTCTAGATAAAGAGGGACTTTTCATTAAAAAGAAAAAGAAATTGACGGTCAAGCATAAATTCAAGGAAATGCTAGAAATTACTCTACAAATGACAAAAACTAATCTACATAAAAAAAGAGGTATTTTTATTCAAAAAAGGAAAAGAAATGGCGATCTGATGGAGGTTATTTTGTTCTTTGTCAGGTTTTTCTTTTTAATTAATTTCTAGCGTCTACTGGAATTTACGAAAGGAATCTCCCTAAGAACTCTGATTACAATGATCACTCGGATAAACGGGTTAAACCCAGAAACATATCAAAGATTGAAAAAACGAAAAACAAAATCAGCGAAAATTCAAGATAAAGAGGGATTTTTCATTAGAAAGAAAAAGAAATTGACATCAAGCATAAATTCAAGGAAATGCTAGAAATTACTCTACAAATGATAAAAACTAATCTACATAAAAAAAGAGGTATTTTTATTCAAAAAAGAAAAAGAAATGGTGATCTGTTAGCATAAAATTCACAAATAACAAGAAATTATTCTACAAAAGAAGGAAAAAACCTACACCTAAAAAGAGAGGGGAAAACACTGATTACAGTAATCAAGAAAAGGAGCGATTTTTAGATTGATAAAACAAGTGGAAAATGATGATTTATTACCTGTTTAATTGTTGTGGATGACATCTTGGACTCAGAAATTAAGAGGTCCTAGCGTCTACATCGATCAGAATTTATATAAGATGGGTTTGAGGCGGTGACGGGATTCGGAAAATGAACGTTGTGATCATGACAGTTCGAGATCTGGTCACCGCCTGCTTAATTTTCGAATATTCAAATTTTGGGTTTGGGCGGACAGATTGAATTGATGGTTATGCCCCGCTCTGTGTGGAGTGTATTAATGGGATGATGAGAAGTATATGACCGTTGAAATAATTAATCACTTATTTAATAGCTTATAGCTTATTAGGGGGATTATTGGTTAAGACAAATTAGGATCAAGTGGGAAAATTGTTCCAATAGAATAATTTTATCCTTTTAGGATATTTTGAGTGGGGTAAAGTGGGATAAGTGGGATAATGGGATAATTTGAGGTTTTGATTTGACAATTCATGTGTAATAATTGATGATGTGATACCTTATTAAAATATAATTTGATCTATTAATTAACTTATCTAATTGGTTTAGTATATTATTTAGTATATTATTATAATATAAACATCATTTTACTTTAAATTAAAATATAATATGGTGTACTATAATTACTAATTAATATTATTAATTATTATATTACATTATATTGTATTATATTATATTCTATTAGCGTGCTATACTATATAATAATTAATATAATATAAGATCAATATATTTAATATAATATTTTAATTATATAATATTTAAAATAATAAATTATTATATTTATACAAAAATATAATATATTATACTATAATTACTAATTAATATTATTAATTATTATATTATATTACATTTTATTAGTATTCTACATTATATAATAATTGATATAATATATGAACAATATATTTAATATAATACTCTAATAATATATTATTTAATTTAATATATTATAATATAGTATCATAGGATATAATGTACTATATAAAAATATATAATATTTTACTTATTCAATATAATATTTTAAAAAATTATATTATAATTAAAATATTATATATATAGCTATTACCAAGATTAATTACAATAATATATTATTTTTATCAATATAATATTTTAAATACATATTTTATTAAATATTATATGACAATTACTTATGATATTAAAAAATATCTAAATGTATGTATATTTAAGTACAATAATACAATTTCATTATATTAATATAATATAATCACATAAATGATTTATATTATATTTTTTTATAATTAATGTAATATACTAACATTTATTAAATTTTAATATGTTATATTATACTGTATTATCATATCTGGTTTAAAATAATACACTATAATTATTGCCACAATAAATATGCAACTATAATTAAATATAATATATTATATGATAATATATGTTACTAAAATATTATATAATATTATAATAAATATGTTTGTACTGATATATAATATAGTATGTGATATTGCATAATAATATATAATAAATATTATAAAATAAATTATACATATAAATTAAACCATTGTTTTAAATATCCCCGACATGGCCCGATATATCCCCGATATATCCTTTTACAGGGCTTGCCGCAACCGATATAGTCTCCAAATATCCTTTACCGCTTTTTGAGTATTTTGGGCGATATATCCCTGATATGACTGATATATCAGCCAATATGTTGGCTGATATATGCTTTTATATGGCTTGTCACAAAACAATATACCGCATTTGATAATTTTTGGGCGACATTATAATTTTCCTATTATATCAAATGACATTTTGGCCTTAAAAATTCAATCCAAATGTTGCAGCGCTAATATGTGCTTTTATTTGTTTTACAAGGCTGATTAGTGATCCTAAACATATATTATTTACATTTTGTATGCTTGGATTTTCGTAAGTATGTAGAGATTACATTTTAGTGTATTATACTATATATGAAAACATCTGTTATAGCATTCCGATATTTACCACATATCTCCGATATCTGCAATCCGATATGAATTTTGGCCATCCGATATTTCCTCGATATCCGATATTTAAAACCTTGAATTAAACTATAATAATATTTTATTTTATTACATGATAATATAATATAATATAATATACATATTTATGTGATATTGCATAATACTATCATTTTTCTCATATATATCTATATATGTGTGTGCGTGCGTGTGTGTGTGTGTGTGTGTACATCTATATATGTGTGTATGTGTGTATGTATGTGTGTATGTGTGTGTGTACACACACACAAACACACACATACACACACACATATACACACACACATACATACATACATATATGTATATATATGTGTATATAGATATATACATATTTATACATACATATGTACATATATATTTATACAAATTGAACTTGGTAGTGATGTGAACTGATTTGGTCCCTACATCTATATTAGAGTAGGTGAAAAGTGGTTGATGCTCTATTTTCGAATAGTGATGTAGGGGTCAGATCATTTCACATCACTAGCAAGTTCAATGGAGCAACTTGGTACCAAGTTTCTCCATTTCTCTCTCTCTATATATATATACTAGTGTGCACCCTATGCAAAGCACGACCTTCATTTTTTTTATTTTTACTACAGTAATTCTGCATTTAAATACAGTTTTTGTAATGGCTATAGTAATATATTTTTTTAATGCTACAGTATCCCGCCTAAGCTACAGTAATACTGCTACAGTGATATTTTTAAACACTACAGTTCCCGCCTGTGCTACAGTAATAATGGTACAATAATTTCGTGTAGCATGAATATCGAGGCTTGGATCTCGTCTGTGCTATAGTAACAAATGCTGCAGTAATTTGCTGTATCGTTTACTGTAGCATGAATAATGAATCTTGGATCCTCCCATTATTATAGAAGAATAGATATATATAGAGAGAGAAATTTTTAAGTCAACTTAAGTGGACCATCACCTACTTTATTACCCATTGATGTTGCCTAGGGATCCATGAGAGATATGAAGAGACTTTATATATATATATGAGTGGATAAAAACTTTGGTGGACAAAGGCTTGCTATCCACTTAAGTTGACATAAGATCATCTCTCTCCTGTGCCTGTCCTCCACCTCATCTCTCTAAATATAGCCTACTATAGTATACTTACTACCAGACTATAATTAATATTAAGTAATAATATTATTATAATATATTATACACATACATACTATATATAATATAGTAGAGAGAAAGCTCATATAAACTTAAGTGGATATGAGCCCTTTGTCACCAACTTTTTTATCCATTGATTTTGCATTGAGATTTGTGCTAGTATATGATACAAATAAAAGCACAAATTTCAAAGATAGCATTGATGTGTACACAAATCTCAAAGCATAGTGAAGGGATAAAAAGTTTTGTGGACAAGTGCTACTATCCTTAAGTTTATAGGAGTTTTACTCTCTCTCTCTCTCTCTCTCTCTCTCTCTCTATACTATATATATTACCTACTATACTATCTATACTCATAGGTATATAGTAAATATACTAGTTACAGTTCTCAAAAAAATCCATTTCTGTGATTATGAAGTATGGACTGATGGCATGTAGGTCTGGGAGGCTTTAAAAATTCTTGATGCGGCTGATGTTGATTACCCAGAAGGTTCCTCAGAAGTGTAAGCACCAGCCAATTAATGTCTACAATTATTTGTTAGTTTAGTAGATTTAAGCCTTTCATTAAGGATCTCCATTTGTAAGAGCGCCTTCTTCTCAGTAAGGTTTTAGGCATTTGAATGGATTATTGTTTGCAGGATTGAAATATACTCACTGAGAGCAGTTGCAAAAGAATTGGCAGGAAAACCAGATGGATGGAACAGTGAGTATCTTAATTTACTATTTAGTAAAGAATGTTAACTGTTGAAAGGAATTGTATTTGACCCTTGAGGATCTTTATTTTCTATCCTACAAATTGGGAGTATCATTTTTTATCAAATTGGAGAAATATATTTTAAAAGTATTTAATCCTACTGGGTTAAGATCCCTATCCAAGCGAGAATACTTATTATTTTTCCTTTCTAATAAGCATCCAAAACTGTAGTAGGTGTTGAACACGTAATAGTCCATGCTATAAGCTAAAAAACTAGACTATTTGGAGGAATTTTTGACATTACATTTATAAATGTGTTGCATGTGTTTGTTTGAGAAGTATATTCAGTTTGTATCTAAGAGATAAACTTGTCTTCCCTAATATCACATGCATTCTTCACATAACCTCAAGAGAAAAGGTTGGATATTTTTAGTGGAAACATCACAATCACAAATCTATTGAAAATAGTGTTTCCATTTCAGCTAAAAAGACTTTCATTAATATATCTCTTGATAAGGAGTGTCCAGGACCTCAACTTGTGTTAGGTTTAACTCATCATGATTAATCCAATAGATACTTGAAATGGTTTGGTTCAGAATGAAAAAAGAAAGGTACCTTTAGATTTTTAAGGGTTAGCATGGATAACTTGGTGCTTAGCACCCATGAGACCAGGTTCTGACCATCAAGCACCAAAACCACCTTGATCCATCTCCAGATAATCTTTACTTGATTTTAAGTTCGGTATGGTAACACATTGTTTGTAGTGAATTTCTAGCTTATTTTAAAAGTTTTTTTTTAATGTCGAACCACATTTATCAGTACTAGTATAGTGTACGTGCTTTGCACGTGTATGCACTTATTTTATTGTTAATGGGGGTTATAACAACATGATTAATTGATTTAATTGAGGGCTGCGAGGTTATGATAGGAATTCAAATGGATTGATAGGTATTATTATTGAGTGGGGGTTAGTGGGGTTATAATGAATTTAATTACAAGAAACATAGTGGATTGATAGGTATTATTATTGAGTGGGGGTTAGTGGGGTTATAATGAATTTAATTACAAGAAACATAGTAAATAATATCTATAGGACTATTAATGGGGGTTAGTGGGGTTATAATGAATTTAATTACAAGAAACATAGTAAATAATATCTATAGGACTATTAAATATTAATAAGAACGTGCAACTATTCATGTTATGTGATCATACGTAACATGAATAATTAAAGTCTATCATGAATTAGTATTTACCACTATTTGGTTCACTGTTCGAATATCATTATGTGACAATCAATGTATACCCAAACATCATGTTACAAAATATGATTATAAAGTTTATTAATATCTAAAGTATAATACAAAATAGATATATCTAACTATAATATATAATAGTTATACTATAGTTTATAAAATATAACTATAATAAAGAATAGTAATATTATAATATAAAAGCTTTAATTAATGTGATTTAATAAGATTGGAGCCTTGGAGGTTATGAGAAGAATTTGAAAGAGTATAGTTTATGTGTGTATGTATATGTATGTATGTGTTTGATTTGAAGGTGTATGGTTTATTTATGCATATATGTGTTTTATGTATGCATGTCTGCATTTTATGGATGCATGTATGTGTTTTGGAGGCCATTTTCGGAAGAAAATGTTTTAACATCCAACACACTTTTATAATAATAGTATAAGAAATCTCGCAATATGCACAGTATTATTAACTATCTAAATTTATTTGTTCCTAGTTTCCTTTCAGATAACCACCCACAAAATATATTAGGTGCGGATCACAAATAGTACATACTAAACATATTTAAGTTATATCAGATGAGTTGCTAATAACACTGCAGCATTGTTCATAACCTCAACGCGAAAAGCTTGGATATCTTTAGTGGAAAATAACCACAAGCTTACAGAAGATAGTATTCTATTTCAGATACCAAGCCTTACATTTTATACATGAATGATTTTAAATACTATCCATAAAAAATTTACAAGACCTTGTTTACTACAGTACAAACTTGGTCAATACGTTCTTCCCTCTATGTGTGTTTGTTTGCGTGTAGAGGTAGTAAATATGACCTATTGTTGTCAATATTAACCAAGTTATAATGTTCTTTATCCCACCAGTCATTCCCTTAATCATTTTCCTGCAGGAGAACATTTATGGCCTCGTTCATATGGCCTAACGGATGGTCCATCCTTAACTGATTTACATAACCTACGTCCGGCAGATATGAATGGTAAGATATATGTTTTACCTGTTGCAGAACATGATATGGTAATCCCTATGGAGATGCTATAAGCATGTTGAATGTCTACATTATTCTCATAGCTAGATGTTGATTATGTTTGATTTCTCCAACTCTTCTATTTTAAAATCTTAAACCTGATTAATATATCCTTGGATGTGTAAATATTTCAATAATACAATGGTTGCAGTGATTATAGAGTCCGGTCAATCAATTGTTTATCTCCTGAGAGATCCAAGTAAATATTTCAATTGGATTTATAACAACAGAGTTTAAATAAGAAATCAAAAAAATCTATTATAATCAATCAGAAACATTTCCTGTGTTAATCATAATTAGGTATATAGATCCAACTCGGTACTTATCCAATACTAGAGTATCTTTTCATGTCTACTGATAGAGACGTGAATATTGTTAGCCGTGAAATTGACCCTCAGTGGATATTCTTCGTTGGTCTTTTTTTCTTCTCTCTGTTTGGGGCATCACTTTTCTTTTCGTTCTCTTTTTTTCCACTATCTGTTGTAGTCTAAGCACTCTTCTAATTCTTTCTTTTTTCAAGTTAGGGTGAAGTCGACTGTGATAATTTCTTATGGCCTGATCCCAAGTTGCATTATTGGAACTAATTATATTGGATTCAGATCAAATATTACTATATTGATTGGATTCTAATTTTAGTAGCCAAATAACCCAATGCCTTAAACGTCAACAAATGCACCTCTGATATGAATAGTCCTTTACAAATCAGCACATGGACTCCATAAATCTATGTCTAATTAAATGACCGATTATCGGATTTAGCAAATTTGGGATAGTATATATATATTCATATTGATTACAAAAGTACTGTGTACTATTTCATTGCAATAAACTTGTTTGAAGCCTGGTCTTTTTTCTTGGTGGTGGTCAAATGTTTGCTAATGTCTGTACATATGTATTGAAATTTGCAGAACTTTCTTTTCAGTGAATTCAGCAAGAGGAAATAAGTACTACGGAGAATGTAATGATATATCAACTCACTGTTTGAGACCAGCAAACCGGGAAGCTGCGCCTGACACTGAAACAGACAAACAAAGATGGGCTCCACCCTTACAGGTTCGCCTTCCTTCTTATGATGTTTTAGTTTGATTTCCTCATTAAATATGGATAATTGCCAAGTATTTGTTGCAAAATCATATCATATTGCTCATACGGTGATCATTAATACACCTGTAGTATTTTATTGCAAAGTTGGAGTGCAGGATTTTTGCATATAATTAAGTTTTATAAATGGGTCTACGATTTATATGCGGGCAATATCCTAGCTTTATCTGTGTAAATTTGTTAATTTAGTCTACATATCCTTTATATTTAGCACCATACACTTCATGTATATGCAGTTGTATATTTGTCTTTTTCCTCATCAAAAAACCATAGGTAATACATTCGGCATGTTGCGCCTATTAGAAAATATTTTAAATTTTATTGATACTCTTAACTCTTAAGGGTTGTGGTTTATCACTGCAGGTACGAGGGGATATAGCAAGGTCTGTACTATATATGGCTGTATGTTATGGATTCCTTCAGACTGATGGGAGCCCATATCTGCAACTTTCTGATTCACCAAGCATCGGTAAGATGATAATGTCATGAGATAATCGAAGTTGTTATCCTAGAGGGATATCTTGAACTTGAAGACAATTTCATGAATAGGAAATTAGATAAGAAAGAGGGGGGAAAACAATTTGATTATTGTTTTTGGAACTTCATGTCATGTTTATTTCTTTGCGACAATGGTGGGTAACACCTTGCAATATGGCTTCACTTTCACTTTATGGTCTATTAATTTAATGGGGGGGGGGGGGGTTATGATATTAGCTGCAGGAAGAGTCAATATTTCTCATCTAAGAAAGAGTTTTGCTCTTTGTATTTTATGATGTCTGATTTATGTAGTGCTAACTGTAGGAAAATCATGGTTTGGCAAGTTCTACATTGCTACTGTCAAAGAAGCAACAGAAAATTTGTTCAATAATGCGAGATCAAGTAAAATGTATTCATTATCCTAGGACTAACATACCACATCTGATTTTTATTATTGAATTTATGTAGCATGTCATTGAAAGGTTAACTAACAACTGTAACAAGGGAAGAGAATGGTGTATCTTGCTATATTGTAACGTCTAAAGTGTCTTCCTTTACAGCGAAATGCAAGTATATTTGGATAAAACTTACGTGCCTATAGTTTGCTTGATATATTTAGAAAATCCTGGATCAAGCTCAGGTTCTTGTCTTGGTTGAACTGAAACCCTGCCTTCATCTGAAATATCATCCACATTAGTGTCAATTTAGCACATAGCGCATGTAGGGAATTGTATAATTTGTATTTCATCAGTCAGATTGATAGTTGATATTTGTATTACATAAATACCCTTCCCATTAGTTACAGTATCATTATTATCCCACTTTTATTTCATTTTTTTTTTCTTTTTTTTTCTTTTTCTTAAGAAACTGTGAGGCATAAAGGCCCTCCCAGAGTTCCATTAAAAAGATAAAATAGAACAGTTAACAATGAGGAACAGAGACAACCATACGTGAAAACGTGCATATGATCTAACCCCTCAACAAAAGATAAAACCTACAATAAGTAACCCAAAGGAAACAAGAGACAGTACATCTCTGTCAAAACATTTCCCAACCGAATGAACACTCTAATCCACCTTACTCGGTAAATTCCTTCTTGTAAGGTTTCAATCGAACCCCCTCGTCAAAACATGCTTCTTTCTGTTACTTGATTGCTATATTTTTGGCTACTCTCATAAAACAGAGAAAACAACTGCAACATTTTATTTTATATCAGCACTGTATTTGATCTAAACCTAAATCGCAAACATTGGTCGGAAATAATTTATCGCTTGTACTATTTACATACTCATTAGTGGTGCCTTCTCATGCTAATGTTTGTATGTGTGTGGCCTATACTATGTCAAGCAAACTAAACTCAAAATATTAATTGCTGTTTGCCTTCCATTTGTACAGAGCGAAGAGAAATGGGCCTCCTCTCAGCTTTATTGCAATGGAATGAGCTCGATCCACCTTCAAGAGCTGAGCAGCTTAGAAATGACAGAATATGCAGGTTCTACCAGCACAACAGAAATCCCTTTGTTGACCATCCTGAATACGCTTATCACATTTGGAGGCATCCCCTCCCGAGTGTTCCTGAAACATACAGCCCCTCCTTGAAAGCTTGGATCAATGAGTTTCATTACAACAACGAAGGAAAAGATAGAAATGAGGTATAATTACTACAACCAAACTGTTCTTTTGTAGACTGCAGAAAAGAATTTGCTATCTGTTTACTATTTTCAAATCCTTCTTAATTATTTTTAACCAAGTTCTTCTAGGTCTACCTCTCATCCTCTTTGCATCTTTGCCAATAATTCTCCTAATGGTGCATTTACCGGCCTCCATTGTACATGGCCAAATTCTCCTAAATCCACGCTCATTTATCCTCGATAAGAGCAACATCTACTCTCCTGTGAAAGCACTCATTTCTTATCCTATCTCAATTGTTGCAGTTTGTTGAAATCATAGCAAGATCCTCTATAGATACATCGACGCTGAAACTTATACTGTACAATGGAGCCAATGGAAGAACATACAGATCATTACCCTTGTCAGATGAAAAATCATTTGCGGTCAGTGATGCTGGTTCGGGGTTTCTCATCTACACATCTTTCATTCCCCTTCAAAACGGTCCAGCTGATGGAATTGCATTTGTGTCAAGTAAAGAAGATAATCATCAGTTTGAAGTGCTCCAGTTTATTTCATATGAAGGTAGCGTTAAAGCAATCAATGGACCTGCAAAAGGTATGGAGTCTGTAGATATCATGATTAAAGAGACGGAATCATCATCAGACGATGATTCCTTAGGGCTGGGAGGCGAGAGGATTGGGGAGTTTGAGTGGATAAAGTTCACGGGGAAAGCATCCCCAGGAAAATTGAACGTAGGCCAAAGAATAGATTGATGACATTTTGGCAATGTGAGTTTTGTTTGTATATATGTTCTCTGTTCGATAAGTATGATAATTTTTATTGGTTGCGAGTGTGAATTTTATCTACAAACTACAGTTCGTAGGAGGTTCTTCCTGTTTATTGTTGTCTATTGATAATTTTATTTTCATACAGAATTGGGAACTCATGCGATTTGCCATCGTCGGACAAAACATTTGATCGATGGGAGTTTAGGGCTGTTTGGTTAATTTTCCAGAAACCCAAGAAAATGATATTGGGTAAGAAATCTCCAGAAATGATTTTCAAGCTATTTACTTGAGGGGAAAACAAAACCCTGCTGTAATGAGTTTTCTAGAATTGGAGTTAAAAATCATCTCAGCACGTAAATCATTTATGTTTTGTTGTTTTATGCTGACACACATGCGATCTTTAAAGTACGCCAACCCCCTAAATCTTCTGTAGCAACACCGTTTGTACCCCTACATATGCTATCATTAACGTGCAACAGACGAACCCCTACAGTATAGTTTGAACTTTCGCCTTCGTAGGGCCCAATAACCTAGATCCTACACATACTTACCTCGTGGGCTTGGGCCCATTTGCATCACCTTGCCAATCCAATCATCCGATCCTAAACCAACTTACCTCGTGGGCTTGGGCCCATTTGCATCACTTTGCCAATCCAATCCAATCATCCAAGCACAGATCAATTGCACGCTGCATAGGAATACAGTTGGATCGATGACCTAATCTCGGGCCCTCCTATCAGTACCCTGAGCCCTATCACCTTCGCTAAAGACAAGACCGATGCAGGCCAAATTCTGCCACGCGATAATGAATCACTTATTGTTTCGTTCGAATCCTTTTGGGATTTACAAGAGAAGGCCCAGCCCTAATAGCGACGGGGCCCACGGACTTTAGGGCCTCGCACGAGGGGTGCACCCTAGTTTTAAGGTATGTTGTGGTCCACAAATGACAAAGAAAACGTCACTGCCAATGAGGGATAGTTTGGTCTTTTCGAAGTTGGAGATGAGGGGTCCGCTCAGGGGTGCACAGGATTATATTCGAGAAAACATGTGCACCACTATATACATTCCTCATCCGTTAGGATATGGATACATTTACTAAAATAGATATCTGATAGGATATGGTTATACCGTTACAGAGATGGATATATCTGAATATATGTTGGTCATACAGTTATAATAGTTTTAAGGGAAAAATGCTCCTAACCTCTAAAATCAAAAAGCAAATATGTCCCAACCCAAGACTATTAAGTCAACATGCTCAAAACCCCCAAAATCCATGTTTTTATGCTCCTAACCCCCAAAATGTGGTGCGTGACATTAATAATTCCAAAAAAGAAAAATTCTCACAATTCCCTTTTCCTCTCATCTCCTTCTTCTCCACTTCCTCTCTCATCTCTTTCTTCTCCTTTTCCCTTCTTCTGCGATAACATGTTGCCTCAACTTTTTTGGGCCCACCAATTCATACATCCACGTCCCTATCTTCCCTTCCTTCCCTACTCCACCTCCGGCAACATCATACATCCACCCCTCTATCTTCCTTTCATTTCCTTCCCCTCCTTCGACAACCCGTACCTTGGTTTTTTCGGTCCACCATTATACATCTGCTCCCTATCTCCCCTCCCTTCCCTCCTACGGCTTCAAATCTTTGCATCTCCTCCTCTATGCCCTCTCTCATCTCTCCTCCTCTGGCAAAAACTGCCTCAACTTCTCATTCTACATGGGCCCTACTATCCCTTCTCATCGCTTTTTCCCCCTTATCTCTTCTCCCTACCCCCCCCCCCCCTCAAACTTGTCTCATAATTTCATTTCTTCTCCCTCTTATCTCTCAAAACTAGGGTATGAGGATAGCTACAGCATGACTTATTCATCAATTGTTAAGTTTACGTGTTGTGGTAGTTGTTAAGCTTAACAACTACTACATAAGCTTAACAATCAATGGCTATACTAAACAAATGACGAAAAAATTAGTAACAAATGCATAAGCTTAACAACCAATGCATAAGCTTAACAAGTGACGAAAAAGTTAAAAAAAATACATAAGCTTAACAACAATAAAAAGCTTAACAACAAACACATATACTTAACCAATGCATAACCTTAACATTTGATAAAAAAAACATAACAACAAACTTAGCAACCAATACATAAGCTTAATAATTGATGAATAAGTCATGTCGTAGCCATCACCGTACCCTAGTTTTGAGAGATTAAGAGGGAGAAGAAATAAAATTGTGAGGATGAGTTTGAGGGCAGTGGGATAGTGGGCCAAGGCAAAAGAGACAATGAAAGTAACGAGGTAGGAGGAGGTGGTGTGGACCATGTAGAAGAAAAAGCCAAGGCAATGGTTGCCGGAAGAGGAGAGAAATGAAAGAGCATAGGGGAGGGGATGTGGAGATTTGAAGCCACTAAATGAGAAGGGAAGAGAGGGGAGAGATGAGGGTGGATGTATGATGGTGAGTCCAAAAAAATCCGAGGCAATGGTTGCCAGAGGAGGAAAAGGAGGGAAGAGAGGGGAGATAGGAGGGTGGATGTATGATGGTTGCCCAAAAAAACAAAGGGGTTGTCCAATGAGGAGGGAAAGGAGGAAAGGTAGAGGGATGCATGTATGATGTTGCCGGAAGAGGAGGGAAGGGAGCAGAGGGGAGGTAGGGACATGGATGTATGATATTGGCTGGTCCGAAGAAGTCAAGGCGAGGGGTTGCTGGAGGAAGAGAGAAGATAAGAAGAAAGGAGTGAGAGAAGAAGAGGGAAAGGGGAGAAGAAAGAGCCGAGAGAGAAAGGACGTTATGGTTTTTGTTTTGTTTTTTTGTTTTTTTGTTTTTTTGTTTTTTTTTAAGTTAGTGGTGACATGGCACCAAATTTTAGGGTCTAAAAAAGTATAAAAGTGTGGATTTTAGGGAATTTGACTTAGTCTTGGGGCGTGGGGCATATTTGCTTTTTTATTTTGGGGGCTAGGAGTATTTTCTCCTAGTTTTAATCCTTATATTAATAGAGTTGAGTTTAATTTCGATGATTTTTGAAAATAATGAACATATTAGCGAACTCTCTTATATCATATGAAGTATATATTTTTTAATTTTTATCTAGTTTTTTCATATCCATTTTTGTCTCTACATATGCATCCGCTTGTATATGCATGTATATTTCTATCTGTATCTGACTTTAGTGGATATGAATATGAATTTTTAATATCGAGATATATTTATATTCATATTCATAACCATAATTGGCAAGTGAATATGAATATGGTAGGATATCCAAACTGTATGCACCCTTGTGACAGGTTGTTTATTGGGGGATTTTGACTGATGGGAAAGGTTAGAGAAGGTATCAGAGCGACTGGATTGCCCATGATTTTGGCAGAAAGGACCAGAAAGACAGCATGTGTTGTATATGTCCGGGGCTAGAGGCCAAAGCATGTACTACAACGGAATAAATAGCATCATTAGATGATGCTACTGGATTAATTAGTTTATTAAGAGCTAATAAGTGCAATCACGTAAATGATGGAACAATAATGACTATTAGGATTGGCATGATGTTGCAACTATATTTATAGTTTCAACACCCCCAACCAAACACATCCTTAAAAGGATCGAAAAAGTTTACTAAGGAGGTGTCTCGCACTTGAGCCAATACTATAAGGAGTCTATTCGCAAAAGTAGAATTGCAAGGGGTCCATCCACAACAAATAGAATTACAAGGAGTCTCTTTGCAATTAGATGATACTAAAGCGGGTCTGTTCACAATTAATCCTTAAAAACACTAGGGTATTTAAAGGTACTAGTTTTTACACACGTGCAATGCACGTGATTTAATACCATGATTAAGTATTTTTGGCAGTTTGTGCTCATTTTTTTCTTTAAACTCTTACATCCCGATTATTTTTTTATGTTTGTTTAAATGGGATACACCCAATTTAAATTTTCATGTTGATATTTGAATTGAAAAAAAACAAATATAATTTAAAAATAATCAATTTAAATTTTCATGTTGATATTTGAATTGAAAAAAAACAAATATAATTTAAAAATAATTTGAATTTTCATACTATTTTTGACCGATATGAAACTAAGCTTTATTTGAGAAAGTATAGCATTACAAAGTGAAAAATATTAAAATAGTGTTATACAAGGAAGGTGAATATTTAAAACCAATATAGCAAAATGATTGATTTAAAGTATGTTAAAACGATGCAAAAGAGAATATGAAGTTTATTCCTAATCATTGATAGACTTCATAAAAAATATAAATTAAAGATTAATGCTAACTCTAGTATACTTTTATATGATAAAAACATCCACATAAGAATATAAAAGTACTGAAAAATTTTTATGAAACTCCCTTCTAAAGATTCCTAATTTCACTCAAAATAATTAAACTATTCTATAAAATATTCATAAAACATTGTTTTGATTTCTTCTATTTTATTTTTTATTGAGTTAAGATCAATCCTTCTTCAGGTTCATCATTTATCATTTCTCGGATAATTCTATAGTATTATCTTCATCATCTACATCAATTGTGATATCAGGCTAATTTTGTATTTTTTATGCTATTATCTTTCCTGGGCTCGTTAATTTTTTATCATCTCATTTAACTTTACAAAGAAGTCAAATGTACTTATGATGTTCAACACAAACTGCTAAAAATATAGACTTTGATTTTTTTTCTATTTCAATGAGAATAAATATTAATTTCATATATATAAAATTCTTTGTGTTCCTAATTTATTACTTAAATAAATTAAAAGTTATCTCTTTATTTTCCTCTAAAATGAATTCTTCTGATGTGCATCCAATAAGAATTTCTGTTATTTCAATAATATTACCTTTGCTCTATTCCTGTCATTTTCCATAAAGATCTAAACTAAATACCTGCATTATTCATTACCAATTTCTCTTAGATTATAATATTAATATTTAATTTGAAGAAGACAGTATGGAATTTATGAATACCTACTAATTTTTCTTATGTCTTCCATATACTTACTAATTTTTCTTATGTCTTCCATGGAGATTTTTTCTTTGATTAGGATAAAGTTATTAAATTATTTTTTAATGTAACTCATTCAGTGCTTCATTAATAGATATGTCTTATGTTAATGCCAATTCAAGTGATTCATTGACGTTTTCTGAATTTTAGATTTATTTCCATCACTTTCCCATTTGCAATGGAAATAACTCAATTCTTTTAAAGTTATCTCTAAATATTCTAATAGTTTCTCCATATGTAATTCCTTGTATTCTTTTACCCTATAAATATTATTAACGTCAAAGATTAAAGTTTCTAAATTAAAATCAATTAATGCTAAGGTATAATATTATAGTGTTTTATCATTTCTATGGATTTAAACATCTATCAATTAATGTTACGAATG